GGAAATAACACTTTTCGGTATATATTTTATCCATTTTCAGCAGAAAATTGCTCAAACTTAGTCAGAATCATCTTGGGTAAATGAGAGTTTTACTTTGTAAAATTAGGATTCCTGCCCCATCCCCAGGGGCTAGGGCGGGGCCCCAAAGGGAACATTTACCAATATTTTCAAATTCTTATCCATTGATGACATGACAAGTATTGTATTTCACTTAGTTTACATGCTGATTTCCACATCACATCTAAACAATAAAATAAAGCTACCAGTACCTATGATATAACTCAGGTGACCGCTAAGGCCCTTGGGCCTCTTGTTTTATATTTCTATCTAACTGGGTTTTTTTGACAGATGATCATTCAAAACACAAGATTGTTGTATTTCTTTATCACTTTTATCACTACAGGAGATCATTGAGAGGTTGATGTATTCCTGTATTAACGAGGGTTTCAAAATACTGGAGGAGGGCATTGCTAAACGGCCAGAGGAGATTGATATCTCTTGGTAAGTGTCAAGTAAGATATTGAGTGGGAGTTACCTCCCTTTGGTCACTGATATGCATAATTGAAAGATTTGCTCTCTATCATGCACTGTACATGGTAATATAATATTAAACATGGAAATGTGTACCACTCTACTGTGGCACTGTAACTATATTACCCTTCTAAATTCAGATGGTATTCATAACAACCATGAATGCCATGGCCCACTTGTTGACATCATCACTATCACGACGTCAACATTTTAATGTTGATATCACAAACAACCTTCATTTGAAAATGGCTATTATGTCTAAAAACAAAATGCTGAATGTTTGCAAGTAATTAATTTTCTAAACAATAAAATTATTTCTTATGGTATATTGAAAGTATAAGTGCTTCACATTGATACTGTCATTTCTATTTGACATTCTTTTTGACTACATTCAAACTTACTACGAATGCCACAACTGAAAGCAGTTTAATTCTTAATTGTATTTCTCTCAGGAACATATATATATATTTGGTAAAAAATGCATGTGCAAGGATGTTCTGTCTTTGAATAATTGTATTCTGGATGTCTGATGCCAACCAAGATAATATACATGGAAAAAGTCACTTGACACAAGTCTTTTGGCAATCGCAAAGAGAGAAAATATATGGATCAATGTAAAGTGTCTAATGGAGTTTACCCAGATCATATTGGTGAAATTATAAAAACGAGATATTATTTTTGAAATTGGTATCATATTTATTGAGTTAATACAAAAAGGGGGGTTCATGAGAAAAGTTGAATAAACAATGTATAAACATCGGTACTCGTAAAATCTAGAAAGTTGGCACCTGTGTACATACATGTATGTACATGTACGTCAGACATCTAACACAGTTGTTCAATCAACATCAGTTTTAGGAAGTTTTCAGGATAAGATTTTAATATGTATCTTAATGGTACAAAAATGTCCTCAGATGATCCTCTGGGTCCTGATTTTCTTCTTGTTTATACTAGATGATTTTTTTTTATGGCTATACGAGGAATTTACAAAGATGTATGTCTGCTACATGTAGGTCTTTTGTTACAGGTTGTATGGCTTCACCTTCCCCAAGTATCTGGGAGGTCCAATGTACTATGCCAATCAGGTGGGGCTGGGTCGCGTCTACGACAGAATCTGCTATTATCATGAAAACTTCCGTAAGTACTAATTTCATGGCTAAAACTTTTAAAGAATCAGTGTATTGATATTATTAGATTATTAAATGTTTAAACTATAAAGCTTATATTATCTTTTGGATTCATTTTAACCTGTTCAAAAGAAGAAAGTGAAATCAGCAAATACATTCCAGATGCCAGAGGGGCAAGACTTTTTGATAACAACCTAGCTATCCATTGTAACATTACCTGAACGTGTATATTGTTTGTCAGATCCTTATGCCCATTATTTGTGTTTATATGTAAAATATATAATACATGTACATAAATACAGAATTTTGTAATTGATTACGTATGTATATGTCATCATTAATATTGACATATAAAGATTTACTTTCTTAGCAGAGATAGTTCATGCATAATTTAAAATTTTGGGAGTAGAGAAATTGAGGTGATAATAAGAAGATGATTCCCTGTACATACATGTAAAATACCAATCTGATTAAAATCATCTGTTACATGGCAAGTACGAAGTTAACGAAGCCATGTAACATATGATTTTAATCAGATTGATAAAATACTGAATTTATGTTAACACTTAACAGATATGATTAATATATTGCTTTTAGAATAGTAATATATCTTTAATATCCTATAATGATTATGACCAGTTTAATATGTATGCGTGATTGCATATTTTGATTCTGTATGAATGTTTTTATTCGCACATTATCATTAAAAAAAGATCATTAAAACTAACATGAACTATCTTCAGTTTCATTTTTTTTTGTTTATCAAAAATTTGCTTCTCATTTTCAAGTAAAATGTCATAAATATGGAAAATTATTATATAGAGAGAGTTCCTACATATTAACCCATTTACCACTATAGACCACAATGGGCTGGTCCAGATCATGGCTTGATAGAATTTACTGAAGTAACATAGGGGTGAAAGGGTTAATATATTTATAATATAGCTTGATTATTCTTAATTAACTATTTCAGCATTCAGCAAGCACTGGGTACCCAGCCAGCTGTTAAGGAGACTTAGTGAACAAAACATTCCGATGTCACAGTGGATGGCAAGTCCAGGTGCACGACTCTAGACTATTGAAGGTCAAGGGCCAAACACTGCATGTAGGTCACAGGAGGTCAAGGGCTAAACTCTAGGTCACAGGAGGTCAAGGGCTAAACTCTTGGTCACAGGAGGTCAAGGGCTAAACTCTTGGTCACAGGAGGTCAAGTGTTAAACGCTAGCTCACAGGAGGTCAAGGGCTAAACACTAGGTCACAGGAGGTCAAGGGCTAAACTCTTGGTCACAGGAGGTCAAGGGCTAAACTCTAGGTCACAGGAGGTCAGGGCTGCAATTTATGTGTGCTGTGACATGACATTGTATCTACGTCGATCCCAGAAATTGTTTCTGGACAAGACGAGTAATGAAGTTATTAGTGCTGGTAGACAAAACGTGATCAAATCTGATCGAACTTACTGACCTTGTCACACTTATTTTCTATTTAATCAGTTTACATTGTCAATTATTGACCGATGATTACCTCAGCTTTGTTTACCAATCAATAATGACAAAATCCTACACAATAGTATTACATAGATTTCCTCTTTCTAGATGTCACTTGACTGAGATAACAACCAATTAAAATATAATTAGTCACTTGTTAGTATATTCAGAGAAGTTTTCAGCTACTGAACTCAATCACTGTAATTGCAAAGATCTTTTTGAATACCTATCTGTTTTACTTGAGTTTGCTTACAGGCCAAATATAAGGTCATGTTCATGTTAAGAGCCAAAATTTGAAGCCCGATTCCAAATATGCATAATCAGTTTTAACTCATTCACCCCTGAAATTCCATAATGAACTATTCCAACCTTTGAATTTGGAAGGGTTCAAATGTATCTTCAGGGGTCAATGAGTTAAACAATATACTTATAAAGTGTAATGATTTAATGCTGTGCTGATAGTATCTATTTTGCAATGTCAGCAAGGATTATAGGGTTGTTATTGCTAACAGATGTTGTACTAGTGGTTAGTGTTGTTTGTATCGTTAATGATATTACAGGTGAATGGCCTTATTAAAGGTGCATAGTTATTATTTATACAGAGTATATCTAATTGGATACAATCGGACAATCATGATGAGTGCTATATCCTTATTGATAATATGACTGCCGACTGAAGTTCATAGGGCAATGTTTAGAACAACACAATGTTTGTTGTCATGTATCATTGCAAAATTTGTTACATTATATCCGGTTATTTTATAAGATGTAATTGTTAAAACTGTGATTTAATCAATATATGGATGCGACTCTACATATTTTGAATACAAGATATACATTGATATGCAAAATGTAAAGGGTATACATGAAACATTGCTGAAAATTAGTCAGAAAGTCATATGTTTGAATGAATTTAATTGACTGTGTTGAATCATAAATTTGTGTATTTTTCAATTAAATTGAAATAAAAACAAATGATTTCATTTTCATTTTGGCATTAATAAAGCCATATCATGGTCCACAAAAATGTCTATAGAAACATATTTATGTACGACCTCAGATTACAGTTGTAACAGATATATGTACGGCCTCAGATTACAGGTGTAATTTTATAACAGGTCCATGTACGACCTCAGATAACAGGTGTAACAGATTTATGTATGACCTCAGATTACAGGTGTAATTTTGTAACAGGTCCATGTACCACCTCAGATAACAGGTGTAACAGATTTATGTATGACCTCAGATTACAGGTGTAACAGATATATGTATGACCTCAGATTACAGGTGTAACAGATATATGTATGACCTCAGATTACAGGTGTAACAGATATATGTATGACCTCAGATTACAGGTGTGACAGATTTATGTATGACCTCAGATTACAGGTGTAACAGATATATGTATGACCTCAGATTACAGGTGTAACAGATATATGTATGACCTCAGATTACAGGTGTGACAGATTTATGTATGACCTCAGATTACAGGTGTAACAGATATATGTATGACCTCAGATTACAGGTGTAACAGATATATGTATGACCTCAGATTACAGGTGTAACAGATATATGTATGACCTCAGATTACAGGTGTGACAGATTTATGTATGACCTCAGATTACAGGTATAATTTTATAACAGGTCCATGTACGACCTCAGATAACAAGTGTAACAGATTTATGTATGACCTCAGATTAGAGGTGTAACAGATTTATGTATGACCTCAGATTACAGGTGTAACAGATATATGTATGACCTCAGATTACAGGTGTAACAGATATATGTATGACATCAGATTACAGGTGTAACAGATTTATGTATGACCTCAGCTAACAGGTGCAACAGATTTATGTATGACCTCAGATAACAGGGGTAACAGATTTATGTATGACCTCAGATTACAGGTGTAATTTTGTAACAGGTCCATGTACCACCTCAGATAACAGGTGTAACAGATTTATGTATGACCTCAGATTACAGGTGTAACAGGTCCATGTACGACCTCAGATTACAGGTGCAGATTACAGGTGTAACAGTTCCATGTACAACCAAAGATTGCAGGTGTAATAGGTCCATGTACGACCACTGATTACATTTTAACCACCAAGTAAATGTACGACCTCAGATTTCCTGTGTTACATATTCGTGTATGATCTCGATTTTAAGGTTAACAGATTCATGTGCATTGTAAAGTACGACCTCAGAGTAGGAGTAACAGGGTCTCTTCAGAAATTAATAACACTTACAATTATGCATGCTATATTATATCATGATCATTTTCAAAATCTCGTCTCGTGCTTTACATTATTTTCAAGAAATAAGTTGTCACTACCGCAATATTTGCTCAAGATTAAATATCAGGTTTTCATATGCAATTGCATTCCAAAAGTGAGAAGGTTGAACATCGCGGCAACAAGCAGTTTCCGTTTGAAAGACGATCTTCTATAAAATCCCCGTGTCCATCATCATGGCGTAAATCTAATTGGTCACCTGATCGACTGCAGTTGTATTGGAACACGATATGAAATCACAACCATCATGATTACGTATTGAATACAAAGATTGTGTCACTATTACAACTGGTGGGGTCAAGGGTCACCACAAGCTTTTCGTTGTCCTGTGAGACGCACACTGCCTGTGGTCCCATGACGCCATCATGGCGCTGAAGCTGTTCACGGATAAGCACACCACGACCGTCAACATGTTGTATGTTGTCCGTGCCCCACCCACAGATGTAGAAGGATTCCCCTTCCCCGCGGGCTATTCCCCGGGGTGACGCAAGGCAGGAATGGCGGTACTCAAACTTTTTAGTTTTTGACGCGTCTAGACAGACTACCCTGTCTTTCTGTGTATCCGACACGTATAGGAATCTGGCGCCACTATCCCAGGCGACGTACAAGGGTTTCAACAACAGCGGGCGAAACCCATCTTCTGGGGCGATGTGGTGCAGCAAGGTACCATCCTTCATCAGGACCCTCACGGCTGGAGGGTACATCGTCAGACACGTGACTGCTATCTTATCAAACGCGATGCTGATTCCGTGATATTTTTCCGTAGACTTTATTGTCCGGATTGGGGTGATGCCATTTATTGCCAGGAAAACCTCAATCACTCGAGCATCGGGAACCGTGACAGCGAATTCACCATGACCTATAGGGGCAACGTCAAACGGCTCGTCCCGTATGATTCTCTCTGATTTGAATTGGAAATGCGAATCGCAGAGTTTGAGTTTCTTGTTATTCTTGTCTGCAAATATCCATAAGCCAGTACTCAACTGAGCGACACCTGTCAACCAGCAGGGCAAAATGTCGGAGGGAGCCCGTGCCGAGAAAACCGGAAGTAACGAAGTGGACCTGCGTGACGTTCGTGTATCTCTTCCGTCGTCACTACCGAAGAATACGGAATCAGCGTACGGAGTGAATTCTCTAAGTAGTGACCTCGTTCTGCTTTTCCGTCTTAATAACCTGTCCGAGACAATACTGCCAGACCTTGATGACAACGATTTTGACCTCGACGACGAAGGTTTGGACCGTGGCGATTTTGAAAGTACTGGATTTGATGGATTGCTTACGTGAATTGTACCTAGTTTTGTAATGTTTTGCGCCAGGCTGGTCAGTTTGTGGTCTGCAATAAACGTCACATTACTTTTGGACATGTCTGTGCTTATGCCCCGAAATCTCTCAGAGAAGTCCTCTACAGCATTTTGAACTTGGTTCATCCACTGGAGAAAGTGAATATCGCCACCGTTTTCTTTAGATTGTTTCAGTATTTCTGTTGAGTTACCTGCTGCGCTCAAAAGCGATTGAGCATTCTGTACTTGACTCGCAAGTCTCTCCTTTTCCTGTGATCCGATCTCTTTTAGTTCTGCAGCGAGTTGCGTTTCGCATTTTTCGAGCATGTCATTAATTCTCTTTCTCAATGACTTCACTTCGTCAAGTGTTGTTGCCATGTTATTGTCCATCTGCCTGACTGCTGCCTGTCTGTCGTCTGCCACATATTCCGCCCCGCGTGCCTGTTCGCTAAGTCTGTCATGAAGTGACTTGACGCCATTTTGTTTAGTTTCCACGACTTCTGCGACGTCACGAACACTACCGCACTTCCTGTGTCGTGTCGCCGTGCAAGTATTACACAACAGCTCCTCGTGGTCGTCACAATACTGTGTTAGAGTCTCGTCCTCGTGGTGTTTACAGGCGGGCGGGGCCATCATGTCTTTGATTGGCATCTTCCTCATTTTCGCAAGATCCATAACTTCATGCTTCATGGTTTTCTTCAGCGATTGGTGAAATTCGGTGCAATCATCACAGAGAGTTTCACTACAGTGACGACACCAGTGGCTGGCGTCCACGGATTTCTTTTTCCTCAAACAAGGCTGACATGGAACCTTGATGGAATTTCGCGCCTGAACTACGTCCACCATGCCCGAAATCATGGCATTCTCTGGGAGGTTCTCAACGATATTCTGTGGGTCGTTACTCTGGGGGAAGCCCGCGGGCTTGTAGCACAGGGGACACGCGTACTGGCCGGAATGACCCGCAGTGTCTCGGACATCTTTGGAGATGCAGGTCTTACATAGGGTGTGGAGACACGGGAGGTACCTTGGGTCGGTGTAGTACTTCTTACATAGGTGACATGTCAGGAAATCTTCAGTACTTCGGCCTACCATTGTCAGGCGGTGACTGTTAAATTAGTTCAATATGGCGACCTGTGAATACAGATACAGTACCGTTAATGATTCTAATGACTACAAGACTACATCCTAGTTATCGACCTTCTCAGATATAAGCCCTTACTTCTTTAGATGTTGATGTCATTAGGCCCGAAATGACCTTCTTTTGTTGAAGTCACCCCCCCC